GTGGCCCAATTGTCATATGTAACTCTTGGGCCACCACACCACAAAGCCACACCTGTGCCATGTGTATTGACGTAAGTATGTTTACTGACATTCACAGGATTCCTAACAGAAGTCAGAAATTATTGTTTTATAGCTGTATTACCCCTATAGCAAACAAAAGAGGGAAACGTGTGGTAGACCACTCAAATTCAATAAAATCCTATTTCAATCAAATCCCTTCAAAGGGAAAGGTCATCTTGCCCTCCTTACTCAATGTATATTTCAAACTAACAACTGCCTATATTCTCCTGGGAGACATACAGTATATCCTTCTATATAAATGGGCATATGATAAATCTATCACCAGTAAGTAATGCAAACAACAACTAACATACGTCCAGCTTGCCACACATAACAGATATAGAGTAACTACTCAAACAAAATAGCGAGCTTTAGGGGTAGAGCATTAGGAAGTGCATAGATTCGCATTAGTAGAAAAGGTTCACCTAAAAATTCTCTGTTATATCCTGCTGAATCAATATACAGATGTCTTAGACAGTCTTTTCGTGATAAATAACACACAGGTAGTAAACCCACATTTAGGGGATTCCAGTATTGTGGTTTCAACATCAGAGACTATGGGCCTGTCTGTAATAGTCCATAGGTAATTCAGTCCAATAGTGTCCCACTGACTACTCAGAACTCAACTGGTCTGCTAACGTCAGAATGCAAATGGTGTGCATAATATAAGTTAACAAGCAGCATAAGTTAGCCTTTTTCCAATTGATACTAATGATCCAACGTCATATACTGTATATGACTGTGGATAAGTCAAAGGTACTGATAACTGAAAATTACAGGCATACAAAGAGTGCCTGCATATGCACATAAAACACGTAGCTTGTGTTCAAAATACAAACATCAAAATTGTAAAACCTGTCACATTAACATCCACCAGCTATGCTCTAAGTAGTGCATAATGCAAACATTTAGATCTCTTCATGTGACAGCTAAGTTCAGAGAATTTGGCACTTGTCTTCCCACTCCTTGTGATCCTGATGTTGCTCGCTGGTTATATCCTCTTATTGCTGGATCCTGAGCTTCATCAGGATGGAGTTCCACGTGGAATGAAACATGTTGATGTGCTAGCACTTCATGGGTCAGATATAGCCACATGGTCATGCAAGCAGCATGACATCTATATGCCTGGACACACAGAGAGCACACCCAAAAACTGTCCTTCATAGAACAAGTCCAGTTTTTGTTTCTAAGCAATAAGTTCATCCTACAGAGGAACACCAATCAAAACTATTTTTCATGAATGAATACCAATAACATATAAATATTACAGTCAGATCTTTTGCTAAACAATAAGGTCTATTTCTATTTCCATGGTGCGCATCTAAGATCTGTCAGTGCATTAAAACAATATGGTTAATATTGCTACAAGAAAAGTACACACTAAACCATCATTTCTGCCACAGCTATACCATCCTAGGTTCACCTAGACTGGACGGCTCTCCCGATGGTGGTGGTGAGACACCAATGAAAGCAAGAGCTTCAGACAGTTGTTGCCCCTGCTGCCTTACAGATCCTTCTCTTTCTTGGCAGTGAACACCAGATGAGGTACCACTCTCAGAAATATTCTCCTGTGAGGCCAACGTACCACCAGGTGGCAGGCCCTTTATACCCTGTGCTCACATACAAACTTTGTGATATAGGAGCGGTGAACATTATGCAGATGCATTATAATGCAATGGGTGGTTTACGGTCTTAGAAGCTGCTCACCAGCAACCTCTGGGTCTTCAGTTTGTTAAAGTTTTGAAAGAATGGGAGCACCACACAAGCTTGTATAGACCTTTTAAAAGATTTTTATTTTGTAATATCCAACACGTTTCAGGGGCTCAGCACTCCCCCTTCAACAGAACTAAAAACTAGACAATAGAAAAATTACAGTTTCCTTAAAATGTGTTAAAATCTATATATAAATATATACGCGTACAAATAGCTTAATGCATTATTATTGGAGCCATAAAGGACATACATTGCGCAACGAAGAAATTTCTTCTTCTGGTTTTTATGCTTCCTAGTTGAGCAATGTATGTCCTTTTGGCTCCAGTAATAATGCATTAAGGTATTTGTACTTTTACACTTTTGTATACAGTATACAGTAGCTTAACATATTTTAAGGAATCTTTGTATTTCTTCTATTATCTAGTTTTTAGCCTTGATAAAGGGGGAGTGCTGAGCCCCTGAAACAAGTTGGCTATTATAAAATAAAAATAAAAAAATGTCTATACAAGCTGGTGTGGCACTCCCATACTTTCAAAACTGCAATAAACCATGTGACCACAGGAAATGAGGTGTATGATTCTGGAAAGAAGAACACTAGTGCTGGATTGCAGAGTAGTGCGTCTGCAGGGGGGCAATCGTGAGCACAGCAAGGGCTGTCTTTTTTTTTTCTGGGCAATGTAAAAAACAAAAAAGTAAAGCTGCAATAGGTGTACTGAACTTCAGGTAGATATAAACTGCTCACAATAATGCAGCCATGCATTCATTATAAAATAAAACATTTTTTTATTACAAGCAGTATAAGTACCTACATTTGATTTGGTATCAACCTTTTGCAATCCTCTGTACAGCAGCACTTAGGTTGGGAAAATGATGGGCAGAACTGGGAGCCAATCAGGTGTGCTGCATGAAAATGTGCTGAAAAGGGACATGCTGATAGGAGGAGAGAATAGAGTGAGCCGATCGTATCAGTCTGCCGCTGCACCTTCACTATCCAGACAGCAGGCTGTGGTGGAGGGAGGACACCAATGTGTTCTTTAGACCTAATCTGTGTCATCCACCTGGCTGTGCTGTGTGACAGGGTTGTGTAAATCTCAGGAATGAATGAACACAAATACAAATAATTTCGCAGGTAAAACAGCTTCTTTATATGTATTTAATCTGTTTGTTTGAAATTCAGGTTTACATTTTTTAATAATGATAGGAATGTATGAGTGGTGTGGAACATGATATTAAACATAAAGGTTTGCAAAAGTATTTGAAATTTTCTGTTATTTTGCAACTACTCCTTTACTCCCTAGAAAAGAGGATGAACACCTCACCACATATGCACTTCAAAATAATGTCACTGAGTCAAGGATAAAGTAGTAGTACGTCCCAGTAGCTCAGTGCTGTGTGTCATACTCGATCAGAAAGCTGCCCGTCTGCACTCAGCTACAAACTGGTGGTGAAAGCAGATTTAAGGCAATTGTGAATGAGCAGAAAAGTAATTGGGGATTGTATGGACAGAAATCAGAAAGCTGTGTTTGCAAAGGATGGAGGCTGGCCCCAGATTTTCACACCTACAGTTTCAGCAACATTGCTTGAGGCAAAGAGATCTCTTTCAAATCTAAGGATAGGGGGCTCTAAAGCACAGTTGTGGATTTTGTCTGACTAGGCTGAGCTGAATGACATCATAAATGTTTGGTAAGGATGCATGATAATATAGCTAATGTCTCTTATAGCAACACTAATACAAGAATAGAAATAGTCGAAACTTTGTCTCCACATTTCCAGCATTCAGCAGTGGTCACATTAGGTGAACATGGACAGGCTCTCAGGCAATGAACAGATGCAGTGCATGCATCCAAAATAGCATGTTCCCTTTCCTAAGGAGAGAAAAGGGAAAACTTTTTTGCAGAGATTTTCCAATATATCAGAATACCTTTGTGAAATAACGAGCAATCCTCAGAAACACTTAATTTTCTGCCAACTCCTAAATAGTTTGATTACTGCCCGCACTGCACCAATCAATTGCAAAACTTGCATTTATTTGACTGTGAGTGGTCATCCTAAGCCAGTGCCAAAAAGAATGGAGCTGAATTACTAAAGGAGTTGAGAATAATCACACAATAAATTGTGTAAATATTTAATTTTCAGCTATGTGCAGATCAAAGACGTAAATGGGGATTTTCTTTTTATATGTTTGAATAATTAAGGTGAATGTTCACATGGTTTATTGCCAATTGGTTTACTAAATCAGCTTCTCTGTCTTTGACAATGCTTAAATTGGGCATAAGGCTGGCAGAATTCAGGTGGTATACAGTCAAGCATAATTATTTTCATTACAAATATGGTATATTTTTTCTGCTGTTAAAAAGCTGCCATTTTTTTTATATCTGGCATACTCAGTATTAAATGTTTCTGCATATTTTCCCTTAGGTGTTTAACTTTGTTGTTACTTTTGCTTCACTAAAATGTAAAGCAGCATAATGATCTGGAAAAAAACAAAAGGAAACAAAAACAGAAGGTTTCCATGCAGGTACATCCATGTATCTATCAAATGCCTTTTATTATAAAGGAGATATTCACTGTTTTGAGTTGCAGCATTTACTTGAATGCATTGCTTTCATCTATAGAAGAGCTGCAATAAGAGCAGTTTTCCTGAATGCTTTGAATATAGTGACCCTGCTCTCTCCCTCTCCCTCTTGTCTGCTCAGTGACTGGTCTGTCAGCTTCTGCTGGGAGATGAGCAGAGGTGGATATAAATATCGTGGTCAGTGGTAAAGTGCTATGGCTGAGCTGTTGGAGAAGATCAACACTTCAGACAAGTCTCCAGCAGCTAACGACAAGTTGAGATCAAGTTCGAATAAACTTTGCTTGAGTCAACCCCCTTTTAGAGAAGACTCCATGCAAGCTAAGAAAACCACACCTCCTTTTGAGCTAAGCAGTTGGTTTCTTTGATCTAAGTATAAGTGGAGCTGGAGTTGAGGTATTTTTAGAGCAATTGACTCCTTAAACCACGTGTGCCCACGTTGATCAGGATGACTGTTCAATCGGCGCTTGTGCCAATCCTACTCTTGGTGCTGGTTTCGGGGATGGTACACTGCATGCCGCTATTATCTTCCCAACGAAATGACACCCTGGAGCGACGCTGGGAGAAACTCTACTCTAAGTCAATGGCTAGGATCCCAGGGGAGAGAAAAGACACAAACCGGGAAGGTGACTATTTGCTGGGCATCAAGCGCTTACGACGACTTTACTGCAATGTGGGCATCGGATTTCATATTCAAGTTTTGCCAGATGGCAAAATAAATGGGATGCACAATGAAAATGAATACAGTAAGTATAATGTTTTTCTTTGAATTTTGCTTAAAAATATAAAATGCTTCTTTCTAAATGCAACAAAGTTCTTGACAATTACCTGTTTAAGGTTCTTTCCATGATCATTTCTAAATTTACAAATTATTTTATTATCTTGTGCAATTGCGCAATGTAGATTAGTCACACTGATGTCACTTGATCTTGCTAAAGCTGCTCAACTTAAGATAAAGTTAATTGTAATAAATAAATGAAGCAGTAAAAGGAAAGTGATGCTTAAAGCAAAGACTGGATTGTGTTCTGCTTGGTTAGAACAACTCTGTGTTGTGAGATTAGTGTCATTTAAAATGCGATCTTGACTTGCTTGTTTAATAATGTTATATTAAAGGAATTAAAAAGTGATAGGTCAAGTGCTGGAAAGTTTGTATTTACCAGATTTTTTCAAGGGGAACTAATAAAGGCATTAGAAGCTGTGATAATCTCTCATTTCAGTAGTCTGCAGAGACCCTTCTTCTGCAGAGACAAAATTCTTAAGCCAGGAGCTGATGTCAGGTGCTGTGTTTCAGTACATACTTGACGGACAGACATAGAAACTTTGGCGAATCAAGTAACAGTTGTCACTCAAAGCTTTAAGTTTGCAGAGAACATGGCAATTCTATATTGACAATGAGCTACAGAAATACAAATATGTTGACAAAAGTGTATATATTAACTTTTTACATTAAAAATGGTAACAAAAAAATAACCAAAACAATGTGATTTTGGTTTTGTAAGCACAAGGTAACTATAATAGTAGACTTTTCCAGCACAACATAATTTAACTGAAACAATAGGGTTTTGGGTTTCTGAGCAAAACATAGTATCAATATATTCATGGAACCCTAAAATTGACATTAGCCTTATAAAAATATGCAAAGTACACAAAGCTGGAAAGCTAAAAGTTTTGGAATGTGTATCCCTAAAACAGGTGAAGATTGTGCAGACCACAATTGAGGATGTGCATTTAAATGTCTTTAGTGGATCTCCACATTATGTTACACTATTATACAGATTATAATTTCCAAATAGCTTTATAATGATATAGGGAAATTACTTTATTTGGCTTAAGAGGTTTAACTTGAGATAATAATAGATAGAGTTGTTGTAAAAAATAAATATATACTGCATCATTAATGATAGTTGTCCAGAATACTGGGCTTAAAAACAATTAAAGAAAATTATATTTTTACTGAAATAGCAAAATATATAATGCAAAATATGCTGTGCTGTACTTTTTCTCAGCTATAATATATTCATTTTTAAAATAGCAAACAATACATTTAAATTGTACATGCTATATGATGAAACAAAAAAGTTATACTTTTTTATGAATAGTAATATTTTTCCAGATTTAATACCTAGAATAATTTAATTCAAAGAGCAAAATGATAGTGCAACATATTGATGCTGTAAATCAATGAATTGTATAGATTTCTGTACCTTGAACACCTGGGATACCCATCCTGTTAATGTCTATGTACAGTGGTGACTGCGATGTGTTTCAATGTTAATCTTAACCATCATTGAAAACAATGGATGCAATAGGGCACTACCTCTGTCAGCTTGCTGTAAATGAATTTGAATGCATCAGGTCCATAAGTTAACTGAAAGTGTGTGCGTTGCATCTGTGGTCACCACACAAAACCTGACCTTCAAGGAATTTAAAAAAAAAAGTCAAATGTCACATTTTGAGATGCATTTTGATGGAGACGTTGCATGTATCCCAATGCAATGCATCATACAATAATGCATGGTAATCATACAGCAGTGAAAGATGACTTGTAACTGGTTGCTATGGGTGACTGCCAGGTAACTTTACATGTCATCATTGCTTTAATAAATAAGCCATCATACCTAGTACTACATCCACTAGCAATTATTCACACATAGGGGTTTATGCTTGAACAGTTATAGTTCACTGAAGCATTTCTAAAGGGTGAAAGATCTGAAAGCTGCTATCCTGTTAGCTTGAAACTGTGATGTTCAGGATTCAAGCTCAGCTGGGAATCTCCTATATACAGAAAAGCACTATCATGCCATGCAGGAATTCAATTGAGAAAAGCCCTCTGCCATCCAGTTATTTTGCAAACTCTGTATATATTTTGAATGCTGTAGCTTTAAGAAAAAATGTTTTGTGCAATACACGTTACTGATTTTCATTCTGAAAATAGTTTCTGGCAACAATTAAACAAGTGTATTGTTAGTATAATTACTAAGCATGTATTCAAGTGCTGGGGGCAAGCTCATGTCACTCTCCACCACAGCACTGGGATACACATAGCAGCAGATTGTAATGGAATCATACACAAAAAAAGTGATATCACTTAGAGCCTACCATAATAAAACAGGAAATCCAACTGGATCAGAGACTTGACAGCCATCAAATGCATTCAGAGTATCTGAAACTTTTTGTGGTATGCAGAAAATATAATGTACCTGCCAGGAAGAAAAGCAATCTAAATATTACATGTATTATTACAATAAATTAGGAAAAGCTTTTCACACTTTCTACATTTATAAACAACTTTACACACCAATGACACTAGATAAGTCCAACCAATCTGTTATGGAGTGCTATCCTTACACTCCCTACATATACATGTGAAGTCCACATCTTTGCTACAAAAGGTGGAAATTATATTTTAAAGATTCCTTTAACAAGAATGTTTTTCCTTTCAAGCATAGGACTTTATTAGTAAAACAAAAAAAGTGATATCAAAGTATAACCTAGGAGAAGACTTTCTGAGATTTATTAGAAATTTAGTCATGAAGAGATTATGCCATTGGCACATCAGATGTTTTACATACAGACAAAAAAGGTTGTTTTGAATTTTCTCTAATAAAAATTGCCTGTTTTTTTTGGCTGCTCCTATTGTTTTGAGCCTGGGAGACTCTTCTTTAGATCAGAACAAAAGGTATGTTTGTTCAATGGCAGTGCATTTGGATGACAAGCATCTATTGTCCCATACATAAATTGGACTTTTTTCATAGGTGCCAACCATCCATATTGAAACACTGATCTAGCCGTGCTTCCTTGTAGTAATAAGAAAATGACCAGAAGCTTGGAAAATAAATGCCCACTGGCAATGCCATTTCCATCTACAATATCATTAACACACGCCAGCACTTGGTCTACAGTAATACAATATAATAACCTACTGTGACCCCTTCAGCAGATGTACGGAGCACATGGAAACAGAGATGCTGCAAATCCACAATTTAATGTACGGTCTTAAAGCACCTAAAGGCACTCTGACAGAACTTCCAAAGCACTGATCAAGGAGCATCATGCAAGTCCTGTTCATCTTCCTGTTTGGATTAGGCCTCCAGCACCTTACCTATAAGTCATGTGAAAAGAACAAAGTTGACCAATGCCAGCCTGCCTAGTGAGATAATGATCAGCTCACTATGTAGAAAAATGTTATCTGATTGTTAGACGTCTGGTTGGCATTTGCAACTCTTTTGCTCTTTTGACATTACTGCAGTTTGCTCTGAAGTGGCCTTGATGGCAAAATCCAGAGGAGGAAAGGAACACAACCTGTGTGGGGCTGAAGAACTTGGTTATTGTTCTGAAGGTTCATTAAAAGAATCTTGAAACACTTGCAGATTATACATTAGATTATGGATCCCACCATTCACTATGTGTACTGACAAGTGTTTCAATCTGCACATCTGTCGAAGATATTGTAATTGAAATCACTTGTACCGGTAGTTTGAGTGCTGAGTGAAATCTGTTATTGATAAGAATAAATACTAGTCAGTTTTGCTCCACAGCTAAATATTCAAATATTTTCTAAATCAGGCCTCCTGCACATGAGAACCAGAAATGTTGGGTAGCCTGGTCTGCTATATGTAGACAACAGTATTTATTCATAACAGTTCACAATAGTGAAAATGGCACCAAGGAACTAATGTCAACAAAGGGTATAATGGCATAAATTGGTGAGCTGTCCAAAATCAACAACGTACTGTTTAAAGAGAAAAAAAAGAAAAAAGGGCAAAAGTGGTAAAAAAAAAAAAAGGAATGACCTTGATGAAAGGTAACAATATTTGATGTTTTCTTTGTAGGTTTGTTGGAAATCTCACCGGTGGAAGTTGGAGTGGTGAGCCTGTATGGTGTTAATAGTGGACTATTTGTTGCCATGAATGGTAAAAGGAAAGCTATATGGATCAGTAAGTAATACAAACCTATTTTGTACTTTTGAATACATTTTTTAATACAAGTTCATTAGAAATGTGTATGTCAGATTTCACTTCAAAAATTGATAAGATAAGAAAATGCATTAGGAGTCATAATAAGGGCAAATTAAATGTGTTTGGAGAGAATTGAAAAGCAACAGCAAAGTGTGGGAGACATGAAGTAGGTCTAATAAACCAGAAATGATACAGGTTTGCCGCAATGTCCAAGTTTGGTTCCCCAGGAGAAAGACAACATACATTACATTACTAGCATGAATTGTTGCAACACGTGAACAGGATTGTTTCCTTTTGTATAGAGAAAAGGGAATGGGCGGAGATTTGCTGAGTAATATAGAATTTTTTGTGTGATAACATGCATATCATTAATCAGTGTGGTTAACCGCTACATTGCAAGACTATAAAAACAAAAAACAAAAAAAAATTGAAACTCTCATAATGCCTTTATTTACTGAGCTAGCTAACACATGAGCTCATGGTAACTTGTATACTTCATTATAAGTGGTTAGACATGTAATGCTGTGTAGTTCACTGACTACGTAAGTGGGAGCTTTTAATAACATGAAAGTGGAGTAGTTCCAAGCTACCACTTGCATACTCCAAAGTACATGCCATTCCTTGCATTGCTAGCTAGGCGATTTAATTAATCTTGTCTGGGGTAAAATGGGAACAGTTCCCTGAAGACCATTCACGTTCTAAATCAGACTATACAATAAACACCATCATTTAACTGTTCCATGTGGTTATAAGATTCTCTATGACATTTTATTTTCCATATTTATGTAGTAAAGATTTTTTACATAGCTTCCTAGGGGGCATGTAGAACCATTCACATCAGTTCCTGCCCCAGAGGAACATATTGTATAATGTCCCTATCACATCCATATCACAAATCACATTCCAGGCCAGTTCACCTAACAGTATGTTTATGTCAACTGCAGTATGCAGAAGTAGTCAAATAAAAAATTGGGAGAAAAAAGGAATATAATTCAGATATTACTTAGCCATTGTACTTAAAGAAGATGCTGCATTCAGTGGTCTCTTCTGCCAAAATATACATCTCCAGAGGACACAGTAAAGATGCAGGGATCAGCAGAAAGAACTACTGAGCACAGTGGTGGACCAGGAGATTGACATTCCCAGAAGTGTCAGTTTCTAAAGGGACTTTAGCGTTAAGTGGCACAGGAGGAGACTTAAAGCAGAGTTCCACTCAAAAGGGGAAGTTCTCCTTTAAAGACTGGTCACCCAATTCCCATTAGGGATTGGCATCTTTGGGGAGCGGGTACCTGAAATTGACTGGTACCCGCTCCTACTTTGGCCGCGATCACCTAGGCAATCAAAAAGCGGAAGTTGTCCTCCCCCCTTCCTCCCCATAGTCTTCTGGAACTTGTGACAGGTCCCAGAAGACTACTGGACCATATTTGCGCATGCACAGCGGGCACCCGGCTGTGAAGCCGCAAGCTGTCGCAGCCGGGTGCCCACAATGAAGATGCCGGCGCAGGGAAGACCGGGTGGCCGATGAAACGGGCTGAGGGGAGGACACTGCAGGATCGAGGGACAGGTGAGTGGCAGTTTTTGTAGCTGCTGACTTTTATTTTTTTACATTGTGACTGGAACTCCGCTTTAAGTTTTTCCCTTCTTTGCAGGGAGATATTTTAAATTTTTTTTTTACTTAAGTAACAGAGTTGCTTTGAAATGCAAGTTTAGCTTCTCATTTCCTGTCTAGTGAAACCAATGTCATAGAACACAAAGTGAGGGTCAATCTCTGTAATGAAGCCCCAGACATGGCAAGGGTTCTAACCTTTCCCCACACTATCCAAAGCTAAAGAAAAAGGTTCAGGTTGGCATTCACTTTAAAGTGAACCCATCATGAAACCTGCCTGCCCACACCAGTGCACAAGGTACAATACCTTCCTATTTGGCCAAAGTTATCCTTTAGGACATTCTTGATTCCCTATATACAAACCAACATATAAAATTAATTTAACATGTCAGCACTTTAGCACGGTACTCCTGGTTCCTCAATGAAACAAAACATTGCTCCCACTTTGCATTGTGATACGGGCTGCCTTTAGATATCAGCATTTTCATATTCGTATGTTTCCTGCAACAAGGGGAATGCAAGATTGGTTTAAACCTTGATAAGAAATAGAACCTGTCTAAAGTTAGCCATATACAGGGAAAATTCATCAAGAACCTACTGAAATTCAAGCCATGGTGCCCCTGTCGGCATCCTCCAACCCAACATCCTTGCATCTGAGAAATGATTGAGCTGAGAAGAAAATTGTCTGCCTAATAACAGTTGCATCCAACCAGGTGCAACCACTGTTTGGGTATTCTGACAGCTGTGGGTGCCAGCAGTAAGAATACGATAGCCAGCAGGGAAAATTCTTCATTCCATCTAAGAGAAATCTTACAGTGTATGGTCAACTTAAGCCTGTATGTACTTGGGCAGTTCACTCAATGACTAAAGCCACCCACTTTCACCCTTAAACATGGTACGACAGTCACAACATCAGCTAATAATCTCCTGTCTTTGGTAGCACCAGATGCTTTCAGTCTGACCACACTTGGTGGTAACTGTCAACTGTACATGTTAGAAAACTGTTCCAATCATTATTTTTCCCTCTTTGATTTGCTTAGCTGACAGGGTCTAAATGCCTATTACTTCTCTTACCCATTTTGTCTCACTATTCATAAACATACATTCAGCTAAGCAAAGCATTCATGTTTATGGGGCAATCTGAATCTTAATATTGTATTTTTTTATCTAAACCTGGACAGATTTTGTGAGTACATGTCTATAAATGCTATATGAATAGATTCATCCAGTGAATTTATGGACAGATATTTAAAAGTCACACCTATTTGTAGTTATGTGCAAGTCTGTTGTTAAATTTAACAGGGTAATTATACAGCAATATTTTTGCATTTAAAAGTCAATGGGGGGGGTGTACTAAAACTGGAGCACTTGGAAATCTGGTGCAGCTGTGCTTGGTAGCCAATCAGCTTCTAACTTCAGCTTGTTCAGTTAAGCTTTGGCAATATAACCTGGAACCTGATTGGTTTCTATGCACAGCTACACCAGATTTTGCACCCTCCAGTTTTAGTAAATAACCCCCAATGAGTATGATTGTCTTCAAAGGCTCAGCTGACAGCTGTGGGAGCATATTCAAAGGATGCTCACATATTATCTAATAACAGAATCAGAATGAGTCATTTTAGATTGTCTAACTCAAATATCACATTGTAGAATGGAGCTAGATTCACCCCAAACACTGCTAGCATTTTATGTATTTGAACTTTTGGGTTTCTCAGTTGTTATGTAACATTTATGATGCATGGGAGTGCTAAACAGGCCTGTACTTTTTATTTTTCTACAGAAACAATTCACAGATGAATGCAAATTCAAAGAGACACTTCTCCCAAATAACTACAATGCCTATGAATCAAGACGGTACCCTGGAATGTACATCGCTCTGAGCAAAAATGGAAGGACAAAAAAGGGGAACAGAGTTTCCCCCACAATGACACTGACGCATTTTCTGCCTCGGATTTGATATCATTTTTTTACCGAGGATTCCTGGGGACAGGCTGTGGGGAAAGAACTTGGTGCACTTTGAAGACAGTTAAATGCAAGAGCTGATGTAACATATTTAACTTAATAATTTAAGTCTGTATATATGGTTCAGGAGAAACTTTATTTATAGCTAATGACTTTTGTATTTTCCCTTAATATTTTATTTCTTTTATTGGGGCGAATTGTAGTTTATTACCTGGAGAACTGCTGGATGGGCCTACAACGTGTTGCTATGCAATGTGCTGTGCGTCACAGCAGTAGCGTTAAAAAGTTGGTGCCATTGCTGAGCTGCTAATCACGACACTGTTTTGTACTGTTTACAAGTTGCACACAATTATGTCAGTGTGCACATATTTCTTGGCTAAAGCAGATAAGATGAAACAAGTGTTAGGCTGAAGCTACCAATAGTGTTTCCTCCGCTCAGTTACTATTAAACTGAAAGAGTGTCAGTTTACCTCTTGTACAGAAAGAGCAGTGTGAGAAGAGGACTTCACAAATCTGTTTTTAGATCTGTCAGTGCTGAACTCTGAACTACTCTGACAGTCAATCTTTGCTATGTCTCCACAGATCACATGCCTCTTAACCCCTTCTTTGGAAAGAGGGTCTAGCACTTAAAAGTATGGATCTATCTGCTTGAGGCTGAAAACAAATAGACACAAGTGATTTTAGGTGCTATTGAGTGTACTGGAGCTGGAGGACGTTTTTACAATCAGATGTTGCTTAAAGAATAAATAATAAAACCAATTCAGATATCATGTGAAGTAAGCAGTGGGTGAAATTCTAAACAGAACACAAAATTAAAGCTGAACTTTGAGCAAAAAAATCTCCATTTAAATATCTTACTTAACAGCCACAAAGAATATAAGTCCATTTTGTGCACCAAATGGCTTTGCAAACCCAGATGTAACCTTGTAAAAGTTGCAATGACTTCATCACTGTGTTGTATATAGCCAATGTAGAGAGTAGAATTGTGGGAGGGACCCAGCAGAACTCACCCACTACAGACTGCCTGCAGAAAATTACAGGAGGGAGCGGAGACAAGACCAGTCACCCCGCACAAGGAAAAAGGGCAGCAGTGCCCAGTCTTTATTACAGGAAGCTACTGCACAGAGGCAAAGTCTCACACTGGATTACAGCACATATTTGGAAAACTACATAAAGCACACCAAGATTCAAGTGACAATATACACGTCTGTTGTGTTTAGGCAATATTTCTGGAGCTCAGCTTTAAAATGTATCTAATTTTTTTTTGTTGTTGCTTTGGATAGGGATAGGAGAGGGTTACATCCACTGTCAGGTCCTTACTGGTGTCTGTGCCCCCACTAGGGAGATTTGTCCTCTTTATTTGTCTTAGTGACCATTGTCACTGGGACAGAAATTAGTAGGGAAATGTAAATTTCACTGGAATAGGAATATAGGTGAAATCTTCCAATGGATGATTACTTTGGAGTGAACTCCTCTCATTTCCTGTTGTGTTATGAGACAGGAAGTGATGGAAAATCTACCCAATGGAACAAGCAAAAAAGAAAAATCCTGACAGGAGTTTTATGCATTTGCAACTCTATCCAAAACTAAAAAAGCTCTAACATTACTTATAGTTTAAGCGTATTACTGGTACATGTGAAAAAAATATTACTTTACTGTATCAACATTTAATACGTATATTTGTGAATGTTGATAACAAGGTTGCATACCCAAAAATCCAAACCTTGCTGCTTCCTATTGCTCATTCCTGTTAAAGTTTACCTGTTTCTTAGAAAATCTGAGGAAGAGATCTTCTTTTTCCTGTGATACATCAAGCTGATCAGAGTCTAGTATGGATGGGGTTCCTCTGACCTAATTCTATATTAGTTGGCACAGTCTCCCTGGGCCTTGATGGAACCCCGTGTGCACCCTGAACTATGTCCCATTCCCTGAATGCTGAATGGAATTCAGTGTTACATGCCATACGTGCAGGAAATCGCTCTGTGTATAAATCACCTGTGAGAATTCTGCCTATCAACTAAACTGACGTTACAGAGGCACGAGGTACTTTGCACCTCAGGCCCTGGTGTTGCCAATATCCTAAGAAGCGGACAGGATGCCTGCAGACTGAATCCACTGAATAGCTGATTTCTCCAGGGAAGGGACAGGTGCACGTTAAGCTTTACTACATGTCTACCTCACTATCTCTCCATAGGACTTGTATTCCTGCAATCACGTCTTGGAAATCTATTTTTTCCATATGTGGCCAAATGTACTCTAGGTGGAAGGCAGTGCTGTCTATTTCAGCCTTGTCACATTTCACACTATCTTTACCCTGTGACTTACTTTTAGTAAGGATAATCATGGTAAAAATATTTGCAGGCAGCTGTTGGTCTGCACTATATGGTCATCGAGTAACCTTATATTTTTCATTATATGCTCTGCAAACATACAGCCAGCTATTGAGGACTGAAGTGTTCCTAAAACCAGTCTGTTCAAACTGCTACCAGTACAAGAATACTCCTTTAATCCTTCTCAATCCAGGAGGGTTTGGTTTATGGGCTGAAATATTGTATATCACCGATCAGCTAGAACAGGATGTATAATGACATGCTATTTTAACTGCCAAATTCTTACTTACATTCCTTATTAACTCTTCCTTCCAATAGTCATACTTCAAGAATATCTAAACCCTCAAACTAAATTTTACAGCAGAACTCCAAGCACAGGCATATCTTTATAAATTCCGAATTGTACAAATAAATAACCTCTGGGCAGGTGTGTTGGACTTGAAATAGATGTGATATTCTCAGATAATTCATATGTTTGTATATGTGTGTATCGCTGTACTTTCAGCATGGTGCGGGTTTGAGAGCTGTGGCTCTTATACAGAGGAAAGATCCTGTCGCTTATCTGCCCCTCTTCTCCCCTTCTGCATTAACAGAATGTTTCGTATTCTGTGAACCATTCATGTGAAGGGACAAGCAAGACAAGGGGGAGGGGATCAGATAAACGACAGGATCACTTTCCTGTACAAGAGCCACAGCTCTCATACACACCATACCAGAAGTACAATTCATATATGTGCTATCCATGAAGATCACTTCTTTGTTCAGTCCAATACACCTTCCCGGAGATAACTTTTTACATTTAGGAATTTATAAAATAATGTTTGTGCTTGGAGTTCTGCTTTAATATATTGCAGCCCACTAATCTGTAGATTTGTTGGCTTCATTTGTTTTCATTTTTCAGGCTGAGAATATTTCTAGCAAGTACAGCAAAATCCCTGTTGATTTTGCCAGATTTTCAGTGTCCTTGCAACTTTCTGTGCACTGAACTGATATCTCAAAAAATTACTTTCCTAGCTATATGCTGTTCAGGATAGGTGGAGGTATTTTAGTCCATATTAGGAGAGCAGCCTAGATTGACAACAGCACTGCTCCAAGGACAAAGTACACTAAGTGTTGTCACCCTAGGGCAGAAAGTATGTTACTGGCAGAACACAAGGTGAAAATAAAAATAAAAAAGCCTGAAAAAAACAAAGCAGCTCAAACATTTATGGGCTGATAAGCTGCATTTATGTTTTTGGGTTTAGATACACATTGGGGGAGATTTAGTAAGACTGGTGCACTCAGAATGTGAAGCTGTGCATGGTAGCCAATCAGCTTCTAACTTTGGCTTGTTCATCTAAGCTTTGACAATAAAACCTGGAAGCTGATTGGTTTATATGCAAAACTTCACCAGATTTCGCACTCTCCAGTTTTAGTAAATAACCCCCTTTCAGTTTAAACCACTGCTGCTAATTTGTACTCCACAAATGCCTGTGCAAATTTGAGCTAAATCCCACTTTTACTTAGCAGTTATCAGTAAATACATGCACGTGGTGTATACTGACACATCCAGAAAGTGTTATCTGGAAGGCCTATATGTAGGTTTGGTTCATCATATAAATGCTATCACATGAGTTGTTTTTTTGCAGATTAATGCTGTCGAGGGCAAGTACAGTATTAAGACTTCAATGGAAAGCAGTTTACAATGTTCCATGATTTGTCTGTAGTTTTATACAGGTGTTCTTCGATATTGTGATGTATGTGCTGTGCACAACTGAATGCATAATAAACAATGTATGTTTACACTGTATGTGGTGTATGTGAGCATTCATTCAAAGATTAAAGCATTCCTGTAGAAGCTCGAAAAAAATAACCACCCTGTCCATAAAGCACCCGGTCACTGCAATTTTAGGTTAGATGCTATCAAGTCTGCCTTGTAAATTTTGTTTAAACTACACGTGTATATGCAAACTAGATTGCATCCTGTTCTTTGTTTCTGTAGAAAGTGTTAATGGTCAAGTTTGAAAGTGTCACACAGAAACCATTGTAGGATGGAGAATTCCAGAGTTGGAACCTGTGTTGACAGAATGCAATGTAGGAAGCTAAGTGCGTATTTAGTTTTTGTCTGTGTAAATTAGTATTAAACAGAAACACACAATTATAGGACAGTTTCAACTTCATAGTTTTTATTTTACCTCTGTGGTTCTGTGTTAAAGCATTCTTTAAAGTGACACTAAACTCACATTGTTTATAAAATAAAATAAATGCAGTATGTTTAAATATAAGTAGAATATACCTCCTATCTCTCCATTCATTTAATCTCTCAAATGCAAGCTTTGTTTCTGCTGTTCTAAGACTTCCTGTTTTTGGATAGCTATGTTCGTTCTTCGTGCCATCCTTGTGTACGTGAATGTAGCTACTCTTTCCTGCTCACACCCAAGATGGGCTACAAATTTATGTGCAGACACATTCAGCTCTATGGGAATTATAGTGAACATAGAGGGACGAGTGTGACCATAAATAATAGCATTGCTCACTCTACACTAGTACAGGTGGGGTGCATCAATGACAATGTTTACATGCAGTTTTTTCACAGATTGGTGAAACTCTGCCCATCTTTACTTCTGAGACACTCTGGAGGTTATTTGCAAAAACTGCATGGTGCAATATCTGGTGCAGCTCTGCT